ATCAGACAATCATAACCAAAAACAGGGTTGGTAAAAAGGGAGGGGGTATTGCTTGCTTTGTTAAAAATAGTTTAACGGCTTCTTCAAAAAGCTTTGATAATGATATTGAAAATCTAATGATAACTGTTGAAAATTATCATTCGATAAAGCACTTTTGCGCATTATACAAAGCACCATCAATGAATCAGGAAACTTTTTTGTTGAATTTGGATTCCTCACATCATGATGTATCTCAGATCAAAGAAGAAATATTCTTTGTTAATTCCTCTTTTTTAGTTGACTATAAAAACTTGCTCCTATCATTCGGTCTGAAGTTGTTAAACAAAGAATCCACTAGAGAAACTACCCATAGCTCATCATGTATCGGTCATGTTTTTGCATCACGAGGTATCAACATTGAAATGCACTATCAGTTATCACTACGCACTGCTGTTTAACACTGATCTAGAAAGGCATTTGGATATTAATACTCCTAGAAAGTATCGAGATTTCAAATGTTTTTTGGAGGAGACTAAGGCATGTAAATTGCTTTTTCTACTCATTCATCGCTTACCAAAAGCTTTTGAAAACTCGATACTTTTTCTCTAGAAATAATTGCTAGAATATTGGTAGATACTTGTAGCATTTATTGTCTTGAAAAAACTGTCACAGGGAACAAAAAATCGCAGTCTTGGGTAACTCTCGATTTGAAAAAACAATTTAGGAAACGAGATAAACTTCATTTGCTTCTGATTAAGAATACAGCCGAAGAGAGAAAATCTAACTAAAAAACTCCGTGTAAATTAGTCAATCGATTGATGCGTAATACCAAGAGAAACTACTATGATAGAAAAATCAACTTGCAAAGCAATGCAAAAAGTCTTTTCAACGCTTTTAAAGAACTTTCCGGAAAAACTTCTTCGGTTGGTAGTAGAATTGATGTTGATGATTTGAACAGCTTTTTTTATGCAAGACGGTCAAAGCCTTGCAACCGATATACCTTGTAATTTTACTACTGCAGACATAGAAGCAAAAGAAAAAATCTTTTTTCTTTTGTCCATTTCATGAGTCAGAAGTTTCTATTGTTATAGAAAAACTGAAAAACAAAACGTCGGACGGTCATGATGGCATCAATAATAGGATGGTCAAGTTTTGTGCACCAATAATTTTTGCCATTTTTAACTTTCTGCTTTAATCAATGCTTTAATGCAGGCGTTTTCCCAGACATTTGTAAAATTGCAAAAGTACTACCATTTTAGAAAACGGGAAAACAAAAAGAGCCAAAAAGTTTTCGACCCATAAGTTTGCTAAGTACTTTCAACAAAATTTTTGAAAAAATAATACTTATTCGCATGATTAAGTGTTTATCTAAATGCAAGCTTTTGGTGTCTGAACAGTTTTGGTTCCGGCGCAGATATTCTTGTGTGCATGCAATAACCTCTGCAATCGAAATAATGCGTCACTGTATAGATGATAAAAAATCTGGATTAGCGGGTTTTGTAGATCTTAAAAAGGCTTTTGACACAATTGATCACTCCATTTTACGAACCAAATTAGATCTCTATGGATTCTGCGGTACAACAAACACTTTTCTGCAGTCTTATTTAACCAATCGTAAACAGTGTGTATCTTTTTGTGGAAAAAACTCAATTAAAGAATATTACGTTTGGAGTTCCCCCAAGGATCTGTCTTAGGTCTACTGCTGTTTTTACTCTATATTAACGACTTGCCTAAGAAAGTAACGAAAAACTCAATTTGTCTGTTTGCTGATGATACAACAATTCTTACTACGGGCAAAAACAATTCGATTGATAAAATTGAATCAGGACCTCAAATCGATAGAAAATTGGTCCACAAATCATAGACTTACTATCAATTTTGATAAAACGCAGGTATCCAAATTCGGAAAGAGTTCAAAATAATCTGATTTTTTTTTGGGGAATCAGAAACTTAATATCGTGAACTTCTTCAAGTATCTTGGGGTTTTGGTAGATAAAAAGCTCTGTTTTAAGCAACACATAGATCTTGTTTGTAAAAAGTAAGCTAAATTTAATGGAATTCTTTATAAAGCAAGAAATGTTTTTTCTAGAACATTTCTTCTTAGGTTTTATCAAGTTTATGCGAAATCTTTGTTATCATACGGCATCTTATTTTATGGATGTGCGTCCAAGACAAATTTTAAACAAAATTCTTTTAGTGCAAAAGCGAATTCTTAGAACTATTTTCTTTAGGCGCAAATTTGATCAAATTACGGAAAAATTTACAGAATATAATATTGATACCGTTTTTGAATTGTTTCTAGATACTGTTTTTAAAGAAGTTATTTATCAAATACTTGGTAAATCGCCATTAAAGTTTTTGGATTTTAATCAACTAAATAACTGTAGGTAAATACGTGCCCGTAGCTTGAGAATGCTACGTTCAAAGTCTGTTAGATCTAACTGCTTATTACAATCGGTTAGTGTTAAAGTGCTCAAGTTTTACAAATTTTTTCGGCTGATAATCTTTTTCCAGAGAACTTGAAAGATATGTCAAAATCTCAATTGAACTCATATGTACAAAACACTAAACGTAATTTGTCTCAGATAATTTTCAACTCTTTCACCTGGCGAGATTTACAGGCTTGTCATTGGTTGCTAGAGGTTTTGTACAAATGGATCAAAACAATTCATAAGACAGCGGATCAGGCCATCTACTTCAACTCATGGAGAATAAATTGAAACTTGATGGAGGACCAGAAGTACGGACTAATGCAAAATTCGTTTTGAAGAAATGCAAAGAAAACTCAATTTTAAGAATTTAGCGAAGTTCAAAGCATCCTCAGCCGTCGAATTTCGGAACCAGTTTTTTGAAGCTGCTTTGGTTTTAAGCATATTTGACTTCTTTTTGACTTTGTTATTTTTCAGAAAGCATTCGGTTATTGCATCGATCATCTATCGCTGCACTGAAACTCTGCAAAACAATTCGGAGAATCGTAAAAGGATCAGAACTTCATCGTAACGCATGATTATCACTTCACTTAAGAAGCTCGGGGTTAATTAACTCATCGGCATGTTTATCGGCAGAAATTGATTTCGGAGGTAAACTTCAAAGTTATCAAAAGCAGTGCTATCATTGTCATTTTGTGACCTTTTAGATTCTGGCATACATCAAATTGCATGCGAATTAGACCGAAAAGTGTTAGAATCAAAAGAAATTTTGCATTTCAGTTTTTGGCTGTTCGGTTACAACAGTAAACAAAAACACAGAAATTTTTCAAGATATAGTATTAAGTGTTTACATTCATATGGTCACCGAAAGAAGTTTGATTATGAAGAATTAAAAGCAAAACTGGCCAGCACTCCCCCCCCCCCCCAATTTTTCGACGGAAATTCAGTTTTTTCATTCTTTGTAACCAAAATTAATTAATATCGAGGGATCTCTATGAAAATTTGTTTCGTGGTAAGACTTTGTGTTCAGATCAGGGGTGGATCTAGGATTTTCTCGAGGGGGGAGGGTGGGGGGGGGGGAGGGGGGGCACGGATTATCAAAAAATGTTCGAATTTTAGTCGACCTTTTTTTTAGGTCGAGCAAATTGATTTTCCGAGAGCTCTCACAAAGCACTAAAAATTCCCTGTTCTGGCCAAATTTTTTGCGCCGCAGGCAGGCAAAATTTAAAAAAAAGTGCCAAAAAAGGCGTTTTTAGGCACTTTTTGGAAAGGCGTTTTTACGCCCCCCCCCCCTAAATCCTCCCCTGGTTCAGATGAACCAAAGCGTAATTACACATCTCGTTTTAAAAGATTTTTGCAGAAAAAGGGATTATATGCTATTATAATAGATTATAATCGTTTATAAGAGATTATAGGAAAATTTCGGAAAATTATAATCAATTACAATTGATTATAATTTATTAAAATATCACCCAAAACAATATCATTATAATGGATTGAAAATCGTTTAAACATCTAAATTTGGCGCTTATAATTAACTAAAATTTTGATAAAAGAACAGTTATAATTGTTATATAAGCGATTATTTTATCTTTTTACTGAGTGCGGGTACGTTAAAATATGCTGGTAGTGCTAATTTTTGTTGTAAATTCAAAATGGAACAAGACCCCTCGTATCAGGGCGAAGCCCTGAATGCTCCGACTGCCTTTCAAGGTCCATGGAGCAGCAATAACATGACAAAAAAATAAATGTAGTAAAATAAAAAGAATTTTGTTAAAATGAGATTTTTTGAGAAAATCATCACCCGCCGTATAATATTAAGTAAAAAGTGATAGATTTCGCTCCTAGTAACAAATCAATTATGACAAATAAGTTTCTTTCAACCAATTTGGAACGTTTTCTAAGACAGATTTAATCTCCGCTTACGCGTTAATAGAGCGAAATATATCGCGCGTTAATTGCCCCAAATTGGCCAAGTTATCATTCTTTAAACCCTCATAAATTTACCGCAAAATGATCACAGGTGAAATTTATTTTAAAATTTAAGCTCGGGACAACAATACCTTTTGAATAATACAAAAAATTTCCGTTAAAAATTTCCGTTAAAAAACCCGAGCGCAATATTCCGTTACTTTCGTTACCAAAGTCGGAACAATAATCAAAAGAGGCAGCACTGCTTGTTTGTTCTGTTTGATTTCGGTTTTCTGCAACCATTCTTATGACAAAAAATTGATCAGAATACTTGGAAAACAAAATTAGGCAAAAGTTCCATTTTTCCTCCACTTTTTTGTGCGTTTGGCACCTTTGTTGTGAATAAGAAGCTGATGAAGATGTGTTAGTTTGTTTACTGAGAAATCTCATTTTAACCCTATATATAGCGTCAAACGACGAGATCGCTGGGGTGGCTTCCACTATACCGCAACTCGAATCCAGTTACAACAAGAAAATCAAAGAAAGCACATCGTAATTAAAACTGAAATGATAGAATTGAATATTTGCAACAAGGAAAAAGAAGCAAAAAATTAAAAATAGAGGATTGTGACCGATGGAAAACTATTTTAGATGCCGTTTTTTGCGCTAAAAAGTCTTTCAATTTCAGGCATTTCTTGTAAAATACAGAACCACCGGTGTTCAGATGTATTGAGTGTTTGCAGCAAAATCAGCTGTAATCGTTTAAACAATTTTTTCCTAATTTGTCTTCTTTTTTGATTTTCACTTGTTCATCTCAGCTTTGATCCAATTTTCATTCACCGTAGTGGTGGTTTCATCTTTGAATCGCGGTAATACGCCTAGAACCAGTAGTTTTAGCGTTGCCTCTAGATCATAAGTGAATGAAAGAGTCCGTTCCAGATTCATTCTTTTCAGGACAAAGGCTCGACGTGGCAGTAGGGGTTCGCAAAGATTCATATTTATTAAATTAGAAATTTACTTGCAAAAAGTATTGCGACCTTTTCACTTAGTTATGAGTATTTTTTCGGTAAGAAAACCGGTAAAAACATGGTAAAAAAAGTTTTTTTTTGTTATAAATTGGGATCACGCAGGTCAGTCAGCTCAAGATTGAATGGAATATTTGAAATTCATACACTGCACTGTTTAGCTTAAGTTTAGCTTAATCTGCACTTTCACTGGCCACCGGAAGTTTCCCATCTGGAAAAATCTCAAAAACATATGTTCAAAATCATAAATTGAATTTCATAATTTAATACCGACATAAAAAATCATCCCAACTGAAAAAAAAATCAATATAATAGAGCTTCTAAAAAATCAATTTGAAAGTTATCGAAAACAATGAAGAAAATTTCTGGCGCGTTTCTGATTGTGACCCTTCATGCTGTTTTGGTTGTGGGTCAAAACGGGGTTCTGGAGTGTGGTTGCTTCCAGACAGTTTCTGACTCTAGGCCGAACTCGACATCGTTCGAGGACTCGATGAGTACTTGTGTGTACAGATGCAAAATTGAGCCCACTTGCGTTGCTGTTGCTTTCAGTGTTAGTAAAAAAATATTATACATAGAGAGGAAGCTGAGCTTCGCACCACTTGCGACTCAAAAATGAATGACTATGATTGAAATCAAATTAAAAAAAAGATAAAAAACTTTGAAAAATCGTTTTATCAAAAAACAAAATGGAAAAAGCCAAAAATATCCGGAACAAAATTGCCTGCACCATTAAAAACTCTACAAAGAGCTTTTCGAATGCTAGAAAGAAGTCGAAGTTTCAAAAAGTTCCTGTCTGTGGGAACTAAGTCAGCAAAATCAAACAGATTTTTCTCGACACTGAGAAATTTTTTTGGAAATTTCTTAATGTCGTTTGAATAATGAATTAAGGTGCTTTTATTTAGTTTATCACCAGGACCCTTCGGATAATTATTGGTGGTACCTGATTTTGCGTAATCAATGATCGGAACGACAGGAGTAACCGGTAGCTGAAATAGTATCACAGTGTGTTCTGATCTGATTTTCGTGAATTTAGACAAAATATATCAAGGACAGCCGGTTGAGCAAGGAGACCAGCATAAAACTACCAGCATAAAAACTGCGAAAAATTTTTTAAAAATATTTTGTATCGCTGTTTCTGCGTGGTGTGATCAAACGAAAAGCTAAAACTTTAGCAAATTCGACAGTCAAAGTAAATTGGGCAAATTGAACAACATTTTTTGTAGAAAAATGTTTAGAAAAAAAAACATTGAAATGTAAGAAAAAAAATGAAATTTTGTTTCAATTTTTATTGCAGAACTTTTTTGTTTTGAAGTCTTTTTTTCCCTAAAGGCGGTAAGAAACTTACTTTAAAACTTCAAATAAAAAATAATTTTTCATGGCTTAAATTAAGCATAGGCATAGAAAAGCAAAAGTAAGCCTGCTCACTTGCTTTACTTGCGCGAAATCAGACGAAAAGTAAAAAATTTCAAACCGATTTCCAGACACTGGGAAAATTGAATTTGTTTAATGTTCGAATCACAACTAAAAGGGCTGTAATATGATTTATCACCCAATCCAGTCGGATGATTACGTATGGTTTTTGTTTTTGCGTAGAAATTGAAAAAAAAGCTTAACCCGAATACAAAGTTCCTTCCTATTTTCCCTGGTCGGAACAATAAATAAAAGAGAAAAATTGAAATCAAGACTAGACTTCGGGCCATGTTGAAGTATTTTTGTGGAATGTAATTCAAGGTTAAAAGGGTTCAAATTTTGTTTGTTAAAATGAAGACAAACCCCACAATTGAATGGAAAAGTGCAAATGTCACGAGAAACGTGGTCGAATTCTAGTTTAAAAAAGTTGATTTAAATATTCACATCGAATGGAAATAAAAAAATGCCTCTTCATTCCATTTTCTCAAATTGGGTTTGTTTATCAAAAAAAATTTCAAATTGGAAGAGCGTTACGGTGCATAAATATATTTTGTAATATCTTTGGTGAAATATTCTAAGAACTGAATTTTTTTTTAATTTGAGTTTATTGAATAATTTTTCTTTTTATTTTGTAGAAGCATTTTTTCAAGTTGGTCCTAAGCGTTTTTTGACAATTTCTTTTTCAAGTTCGGCAGATGTACAATATTTCGCCGGCGATAGTCTGCGTCCATGGTTTCTTATAGTCGTACATTTATTCAATTCAGAGCAATTTAAAATAAATGACAAAACAATTAAAAGAAAACAAGACTGCTCGTATCAGGGCAAGGCCCTAAAAGTTCCGACTGCCTTTTAAGGTCTATGGAGCATTAATATAGAGCAAACACCCATAACTTTACAAAAAATGATCACAGGTGAAATATCTTTTCAACTTCAAGCTTAAAACAACAATAGCTTTTGAATGATATTTAAAAAAATCCCGTCATAAATGGCTAGTTAAAAGTCGAAATTTGTCTGAAAAAAAAACAACCCCGGGCATAAATATTCCGTTACTTTCGTTACGAAGGTCGAAACAATTAACTATGAAGACTTTGAAACATTTTAAAGCAAAGCAGAAACCAAATCTGAGCTTTTGAACATAGATTTTTTAAATTTAAATCATTGGTGTTGTTTTAAGTCATGGGTATTAGTTCAGATAAAAAAAAATCTTAGGATTAACATTGGATTTCGAGATGTGAAAATTTGATGAGCAAAGACGAAAAATTAAACAGAATCTTTACGATGATTTCCTAATGATTTCCTGTTTTCTACCTATACCTTTTTTTCAAAAACTTCTTTCTTATGCAATGAATTATATCACTTTGTAATTATTGTTCCGACTTTCAAAGAAAACAGATTTTTTTTTGCTCGGTGATCGGTGTGTTTTTTTATTTAGTCAATTTTCGCCAATCAAAATAATAGTTTTCGAGAAAAATGTTTTAAACCCTATTGAAGCTATTAACTTCCTGAGTTCAAATGTAAAGAGACATTTTACCTCTAATTTTTTGTTTGTAAATTTCTGGGGGTTTGAAAATTGCCAAATTGGCGATGTTCTGGAATAAATTATGCGCGCTTTGAAGAGTTTATTCATAATGCTGAGTGCGTACCCCAAATTATTTATGCGTGAAGTATTATCCCGCACAACAAAATCGTTCCAGTTTGAATTGAGGCTAGTTATTTGGCCGTATTAATTTTGTACGACTCAACATTTCACACTTTGATATTGTCCAAAATTTATAGGTTTTCAATATTTTCTTTTCTCAACAACTATTCGATATGAATTGAGGGAAAGCCGGAACATTCAGGGCTTTGCCCTGATACACGAGCAGTCTTGTTGCTTTTTCTATTTATTTGATTTCCTCGAAAACTCGAGAACACTTTTATTGTTTAAAATGGCTTGCACAAGGTTTTCATTTAATGCTGCTCATTTTTTAGAATATCATTTGGCTGCTTTGACTGATCTGAAATAGAGTTTTTATTTTAAGTGAGCAGATTTTGAGTAACGTCTTAACTGATAGACTTATACCAAAAGTTGTATTCTGAAGTTGTATTCTGATTTACATCGAGTGTCTTAACTGAGTGACCTATATCGGACTGTAATAGAACCAACATAAAGTTTCTTAGCAGCACCATGCTCTGAGTTTGCCTCAACTGCAACATTTGTCATTAAAATCTTTTTTAAGCGTATAAGAACGAAGTGATTTTCATTTATATAGGTTTTGATTTTTTTTCAGGAAAATTTTTTAAAAATTTGTTCATGCTCAAACTTGATTTATGATTTCTTCTTAAGTTCGCTTCATTTCCTTCGTTAAATGAAGGTAAACTCCGCCATTGAACAGCAAAAATGAAAAGGTCACGAAAGTTTTGAATGACTTCTAGTTTCAAAATGGACAGGGATGAAAAATGTTCCTTGATCTCTTACACTTTTCCAACTGTCTGTTGGCTAAATTTTTTCTGACTCAAAGCAAATTTCCAGTTTGCCTTTCTACAGTTTCTTGAAAATGAAAAAAATTTTGTAAGTAACTTGGCGAAAGACATAATAATTCCGGTATTCAAGGTTATGAAAAAAAAGTTCGCAAATTTTTTAGGAAGTGAATGGCAAGTGTCAACTGCACAACAAGGAAACTGTAACTGTGGACCCTGCCAGTTGGCACTCGGACGCTTCATGTTCCACTGGGGTAAAAGCGGAAGCTGGAATGAGACTGTTCCTGTTCCAGTGGAGGTCTGGCAAGACCTATGACTGCGACTACCTCTTCAAGAGTGGCGCTCTTCTTGGAAGTAACAATTTGTCTCATCTAATGGAGCAGTCATAAATTTCTTTCAAAAAATTTCCTGGCAAACAGTTTTCTTCAGCCCAACACATTTTATATCGTTTCAGGCGGTTACACCACCATTGACATCCGAGGAGCTACAATGGCAGTGTACTGTAGCATCTCTGCTGACTCCACTTATGCCCTAACATACATGGACGTTGGAGGAGCTGCAGTAGATTCTGTTGTGGGAACTGTGGCATTCAACCGTGTCAGACTGGACGTGCACCCGTGCATGGTCAATGTGGACACCACTGATATACTGGAGTCCGATGATCCCAATAGTGGAATCGGTTAAGACTTAGCTACGTTCAAATGAAAATTTTGACATGAAAAGAAGCTGCACAAAATATACTTTTTTTTTGGAAAATATTGTTGTTACCTCATAAAATTATGAAGTCAACGATTTTGCGAGTGTCCTCAAGTTAACTGAAAACTTGTCTTTTCATCTCCTCAAGATTTCTCCCGAGTTTTTAGGATTTAGGTGAAAACTTTGTTCAAAATGGTCCTTTTTAGTAGCATTTGGCCGCAGCTTGTGTGAGAATTCAGTAATGCTAGTCTTTTAGGTAAATAGTCTAAAAAAATAGATAACTTAGAAATCGGAGTCGTGTCTTCGTGCTCGAGCAGTCGAACCCACAGCTTCGAGCTCCAAAACACTCCCTTCCGCTTCGTCACGGGATGGCACGAGAAGATAGTCGTGGATGGAACACCAGCAACGGAAGAGGACCCGAACGAAGGCTGGGCCGACTGGCAGAACGTGTCGGCTTCCTACACGAGTGAGTGCACCACACGGTGGATGCTGACTAACGTGGACCTGGTGAATGAGTTTGGATACCAGCAGATGATTCCACTTGTCTTCAACCAGCGTTGAAATCTGACACCGTCTCTTAAAATTACCACGACTTCGGATTTCCATTTCGGACTGATACAATTGATTAACAGCTGAAACAACTTATTCATAAATCATGGTTGTGCGATCAATTATTCAAAGCGTGATTTTCATTAAATTCAACGTTATAACTTGTATGCGTGTGAAGAGCTGGCTGAGGTTTTTAATTTATTTTGCTTGGACGCTTCAGAAAACTTTGGTAAAAAATCAATGTTTCGTATGGTATGTACGTCTTTAATTCTGCATCTGGGTTTTATATTTGATTGACTTGAAATCCACAGAACTCGATGCGAAAATATCTACTGTATTCATTTAAAAAGTGCGCGCATTTTTTCGTAACTTTGATAAAAGTGCGCGCATTTTTTCGTAACGTTGATTTTGAATATTACTTCAAAACGATCTGATCATGTATTGCAAAATTAAGTCTTCAGTTTCGTACTATATGTAATACAACGTAAACATAACATGGCAAAATTTCCGACAGAAAATGTGACGAAAGCCACAAAGACCGAAAAAAAATAATGCAAAAAAAAAAAACAAAAAAAATCTCGAGAATGATGGTCTCGATTCGTCAATGTCTAAAGTCATTAAAGAACACTATCTCAAAACAGACACGCATGAGAAACTTTTTCGCTGATCAAATGACGCTAAATTAAGCTACTGAGCCAGTGTAAATTAAACCAAATTGGAGTGTGTAAATTTGCAACCAACGAAAGAAACAAATTTCGAATTGAACAGGTGAGATGCAGACATGCTCACAATATCTCTGTTGGTTGAGGAAAGTACTGACGCAGAAATTTGAGATGAGAAAATGTTTCAGTGGTTTTATAAAACAAAATTCTTGCGCCGAAAAAAGTATATTCCGATTTTAAACGCTTGCTAATGGCAAGCTTAAAAATCAACACATCATAAAGAAACCAATACAACAATCTGAAGTTCAAAAACCTCCATTAGCTGTGATTTCTCGTCAATTCATTTTTAAAGAGTTTAAAAATTCAAATGAAGACCTCAAAAGGTAACAATTTTTGCCCTTAAATTCATTGCCCATTTTCATCAATTTTGAGCGCTGTGAAGCCGATAAAGTAATTCAAAACAAAAATTTCCAATTAAGTGCAAAATTAGCAAAAAAAATGAAAAAAAAATCCACGCAGAAGCGAAAAAAATGGAAGTCGAAACAAATAAAAGATGTCGAAAAAACAGAGTGAACCAAAATTTTGGTATGTCTCGAAGGACATCTAGGGCTCGGCTAAACCTGGCGGTCGGTACGGATTTGATGTTTTTTGAAATTGCTTTTACTGATGCGGGATGAAATACATATTGTCAAAATTGCCCGCAAAGCCTTAGTTGTTTCACTACTAAAATAAACGAGAAGACACCTATTTTTTCAAATGAAATTTTGATCTCAAATTTGATAAGATAGTTTTTAAGAAAATTCAAAAAACTTCTAAAAAATAGTCAAATTTCAAAAACTTTTTTGATAAATTTTTTTTCTGCTAACAGCAGGTCGTGGCCAGTAGCATAGATTTCGAGCAGAGTAAAAAAAATTTCCAAAAAACTGTCCAAATTTTTGGTACTTTCGACAACCCGTTTTCTGTATTGAACTTAAAATCTCAGATATGAGAGGGTAGTTTTGGGTTAAGTTCTTAACATTACAAAAATTGAACCCACTATTTCAATGGAAATTTCAGGTTTGAGAGGCTAGTTTTGATCAAAATTAAAAAAGATTCAAACGACGGTCAAAAAGTCAAATATTTGACTATTCCGAGGGTCATAAAATTATGTGTACAAAAAAGGGCATAACTCTTTATAGAGGGGAGCTTTTCCGACCGATCTATTCGTGAAACCAAAATCTGAGATTGGCTAGGTTAGTTTTTCAGAAAATAATCCCCCTGCAGACTTTTCGAAGGCTGTAGACAACAGGCAAAGCAAAAGGAGACCACGGGAGTATGTAGGCACACAAGAGTGTATGCGGTCCATCAATAGCTTACCCTTTTTTGAAAATTAATAGAAGCTTCTGTCAGAAAAAATAATCGCAAAAAAGTATAAAAATTTCTAAAGCGTTTAAGAAAGAAAAATCCATACAATTTCATTATACCTGTTTTTTATCAAACAAGAAGTTTAGGCAAACGAGCCAAGCCATTTATTGGAAATTAAAATTAGCAAAAACAAAATTTACGAAGCAGAAATACGGCCGATGATCAGATACCAGTTCCCCCCCCCCCTGAAACTAACCTGCAGGTAGCTAGTACCCAGACAGTAGTCAAAAAAGAGTTTTCATGAAGTTGAGCATGTCAGGTGAAGAGAATGTCAAATGATTCAACTTATTTTGCTAAACTACTAGAAGTTAACCCGAAAAAAAGGCATACACAACGATTTGATAACGCTAGCTAATCGCAAGCGAAAGAACTATGATGATGGAGGTATATTGAAGCTCTTTTGGACGTGATTTGAATCATTAAAAGATACTTGAGAGAAAGTATCGGTAATATTCTAAGCCATTTTCTACGACACTTTTTCCAATTTTTTTTTGGAATTCACATTTTTATGATATGATCTTTTGGGGAGCTTGAATTTTTAAATGAGCACTAGTGAGAAAAAGTTGTATGACTCAATTACTCAATTATAACTCAATGACTCAATTATAAAAAAAATTGCAACACAATGAACGAACTTTATTCGAAAAAATGTTTAATTCTGTAATTAAAAAAGCAAGCTCGCCAGCAATGTTTATTATTATGAACCTACTGTTTTTCCAACCTCACTCCCAGATAAAAGCACTTAATTTTGAAGCAGTTTTGCTATCATCACGAGATGTAGCAATAAAAATTTGATAACATCTGTTTTCTGCAGTATTTGTGGATAGTAATGGTGATCGATAAGAATGCGTATTCGAGTGCGAAGAATGTGACCTTCTTAATCTCGAGGTCGCTGGTTCAAACGCGTCTCGCAGCAAAATTTTCACTAAATTTAGGCTTTCTTCTTTCTTTCTCTGTTTTTTCTTTTTTCATTTCATAGAGCTGCTTTTTCGTTATTTCTCGTTTTGTGTAATTTTTGTACAACAAGTGGTGCGAAGCACTACTTTTTTTCAAGTAAGCTTCAGGAATAATCAAAACGACTTCTAATATAGCAGAAACGCTGAAAACAAGAAAAATCCATGCTGTGGATAATAAGAAAAAATAGGCAGAGAAACAATCCACCGATAACTAAAAATAATCAAAAGATCACTCCGATATCAAGCGTACGATGTAATTGAAAAGAGCAGTTTAAATCTAACTTTTTATTAATTGAGCTTTGCAGCTTTTTTGCACGCAGTGTTCGCCTCATGTAATTTGCAGTGTTCATTTAAATTTCTTTTCCACCAAAACGAAAGATTTACTCATTGATCAAGTTCTCTCAAATTGGCTTATTTTAGCAAGTAGTTTGTCAATCATAAAGCTCTTGAAATTCAAATACTTTTTAACGCAATCAATTTTTTCCTTAAATTTGTAATATGCAATTTTTCAAAAAAAATTAGTGTTTTTTTTCTGTTTACTTGCGTTCAGTAAATCTTTTTCAATTGTCTGTTGGCTATGTTTATTATATTAATTGGGTTCAAAAGCTGCAAGTTTTGCCAAAACGAATACAGTAAAACTTTTATTGCTGAGCTGGACCCAACATTTCACCTTAAAACGTATCGCTTTAGACCTGATTTTGACCTGATTTTGAACCCTTCTAAATTTATTAAGAACTATCAAGAAAAGTTTTGACCTTTTTGTTTCAAAATGAGCATGCTAATTTTTGCAAATGAGTACAAACTGAACAAAACTGCACCAAGATTTTATCTGCTATCTATATTATATGTACGACCTATAAGTCCAAACTTTGATTGAATTTTTTTTTCAGACAATACAATTATTCACAAAAAAAGTATTGTAAGCAGGCAGACAGAAAATGAAAATAAAATGTTACGTTGGCTTAAAATAAATTTAAAAAAAGTTGGAAAAACTACAAATATTCATAAATTTGTCTTGGCAGAGTTTCGTTTTGAGGTAACACAAAAGTCGAGAAATAGTTTCATCGTAGTTAAAATCGCGTTCAGTGAAAATTAGAGGCAACTATGCCAAAAAAATATTAGGATACATGCCAGTCACACCTGAAACTATATCGTTGGCATGAAATACTTTCAAGCTCTAACGTTCAGAAATTCAAAATTAAATCACGTCCCCCACTCTCTTCAAGCAAAACATATAATTTCATTTAAAAGCATATAAAATTTAGCTGTAAGGCTGGCATAATAGATGCTAAATCAATTTAAGTTGAAAAAATCTTTTCTGCAAACACGGAAAAAATATATAGAAGAAAAACTATACAAAATGAGAGATGATAACTTTACAAATTACAGGAATAAACCAAAAAAATTAAATAATAGTTTAAGTCACAAAAAAATACATGCGTTTTGACAATTTAGATGACCAAAATTATCAGACGAACGATAGACAGGCTACTTTTCAATAGGAAAATTTTTCAGTCTATCATTTGTCTGACATTTTTTTCCATCTTGATTACCACAGAGCTTTATTTTGTGGTGTGAATTGAAACTAATATTAAAAACGTTTCGAAATTATTCCTGTAATTTGTTAAGTTCTCATCTCTGATTCTATAGTTTTTCTGTTAATTTTTTGCAGCTTTTTTGCTTAAAAGCTTTGATCGGCTTGAATGGTTCGGCATCTATTATGCCAGGCTTCTAGCTTAATTTAGCTTCCTTTGAATAAAAGATTGTTTTTTTCCTTCACGAGAGTGGGGAGGGTGACTTAATTTCGAATTTCTGAAACTCATAGCTCAAAAGTAAGTAATTTATGCTTACTGCATGGTTTCCAGCTTAACTGGCGTGTACCTAAATATTTTTGGCGTAGCTGCCTCTAATTCTCACTGAATGCGATCTTAACGCTGTTGATAGCGTTTCTCGACCTTTGTGTTTTCCTCAAATGGAAACTTTTTCGAGACAAATATTTTTTGTTAAGTTTTGTAGTTTTTTGCAACTTTTTTTATTCATTTTGTAAACCAACGTAATATCTTTTTCTCATTTTCTGCTTGCTATCTTACAATACTTTGTTTGTGTGGATTATTGTATATATTCTGAAAAAAATTCAAGCTGCCTTTTTGTTAAAAATTGGAACTTTAGATAGTTCATAAAATGTAGATAGCAGACAAAATCTAGATACAGTTGTGTTCAGTTTGTACTCTGCAACAACAACCACTCAACAACAAGGTCCTGACCACATTCCAAATTAGGATGGTTCTCGTCCCAAGCACAGACTATATTGATAAGCCCAGAAACGGGCTACAGAAGTTGTGGAATTTTGAGTTTCAAGGGAATTAAGCCGACAGACAAAGCATATCAACAATTTGGAAACTAACCCGACAGTGTTTAATTAGACAAGCATGTGGCCGAAAAATCATCATGAAAACTAATATCGAAGTCCTGAATGTAGGATTTATCTGTTGTTGTGGAGTACCAGTAGACAATGCAGCAGTTTGAAGGTATCGAGTTGCACAAAAAATAGTAGCATAAATGATGAGTCGGTATCGAAAATTCAAATTTGATAACACTTGCTAATCGCAAGCGGAACAAAGGGTACGAACCTGCTAAAAATATTGCGAAGTTTTATTTTTGCAACATTTGAATCAATTTTTGTCTTCATTACTTTGTGTCATTAGTCAACCCAAATTGACCAAACGCGTTCAAAATTTCAGTTTAATCTGGATATATATTGCGCTATAAATTTAGTGATTGTAAATATGTAAATATATCTAAGATAACTCAATATCGGAAGTGAACAAAATTCTTAAAGTTGAGTGAACGAATCATAACTTTGATCAAAAATCGGTGATTGACAGGATTTTACTTTCATTAAATCGACAATCGCTGAAGTGTCTCAACAATTGGCACTCTTAAATATCTAATGTTCGACTAAGTTGGGGTTTCCTCTGGGTTGCTGCATCATCTTCATCTTCTGCTTGTCACTGAGGAATGACGTCACGAACTGTTTGCGATAGTGAGTCCATGACTCCCTCTCGGCTACCTCTTCCTGTACCTCCCTTTCCAAGCGGTATGTGGCGAACTAAAACAGAAAGATAATTGTATGTATGTTCTACAATAATAAAGGAAAAATGAAAGAAAAGAGCGAAGAAATGCGACAACACAGAAAAGAAACGAACATAAAAGCACAGAAAAAAAAAACTTTTTCAAAATTGTTTGATACTAAGCCGAAAAGTTATCTGAAGTTAACTCAAAATTTTTTTATAAGTCAATATCTACGAATGGATTTCAGTTCGATAAAAGCTTGAAAGACGCGTGCCAGCGTTACATTAGCCAGCAGTCAAGATGTATCTACCAGTAGCTAAGCTGAAAAAATTGGGTAGACGACCGTTGAGCCGAAAACAAATTTATTGTCTCAAAAAAACGCTATGAAGGTAAAAGCTTTAAAGGTAATTTTTTTTTTTTACAAATTACCACATTCCAAAGCACCCAACAGCTTTGAAAATTGTAAAAAAAACTTCCAAATGACGCACCATATGGACTCTATGATGATATGAATCAGCGGAAATAGTTTTTGCCGAATAAATCTATCAAGCACAAAAAGAAACGGAAATTATACAAAATCGGAGCTGATCAATTTCGAAATGAAAGGCACAAATCATAGTTACTGTCCAATTTAGCAAAACAACTCAAGTCTCCATAACGTGGAAATTAAGCCGATAAGACCTAAAAAAAACAATCTGACAATCGAAAAAACTGCAACATGAGTACTAATGAAACAACTAAAAATTTTTTTAAAGCAACAAGTAACCCAGCTTTTCATTTGGAATTTACACCAATTTACACCAAGAGTTTACTGCCAGCACATTAACGTACCCGCGCTCAGTGAAAAGAGAAAATAATCGATTATGTTCCAATTACAATTGTTCTTTTAACAAAATCTTTTTCAGTTATAAGCGTCAAATTTAGATGTTTAAACGATTTATAATCCATTATAATGATATTTTTGGTGGCATTATAATTAGTAATAATCAATTTTTTTATTATAATTTTCCGAAAATCTCTTTTCATCTCTTATAAACTACTTTAATCTATGCATAATTTGATTTGAAAGAGAGATCATAATCAATTATTCACTGATTAAAATCAGTTTTTTCTCAACTTTAGTAAGACTGGTAATAAAATCATCGTATAATCAGGGGCGGATCTAGGATTTTCTCGAGGGGGGGGGGGGCGGATTTTCAAAAAATTTTCCTTTTTTTTAGGTCGACCAAATTGACTTTCTTTTCGAGCTCTCCCAAAGCCTTGTCTTGCCCCTATTTTGGCAAAATTATTTGCACCGCAGGCAAATTTTTGAAAAAACAGTCAAAAAGCCATTTTTGGGCACTTTTTGAAAAATTTTGACAAAAAAATCGCGTTTTTTTTGGCGCGCGCTCCCCCTCAAAGTCAGTATGTATTGGCGCGGAAGGCGCCTTTAGAAAAATTTTAGGGTCGGTCGGCCAAAAATGGATTTCTGAAAAAGTATCAAAGGGGGGACCCTTTGGGTCGGCAGGGGGTCGAATCCCTGAGGAGGGGGCGTCCGCCCCCCCCGCCCCCCCCTAAATCCGCCCCTGCGTATAATCAATAACTAACGCTTGAAACTGGTTGTGGGTAGTGCATGTGACGTTATAAATGATTTGTGATTTTGTTGATTAATTTTTTTATCTAAAATGTCTATAATCCGTTTTGATAACGCTTGCTAATTGCAGAAGTAAAAACTGTTGAAAATAGTTTCTTATAAGCTCATTGTTTGTTTGAAGAAAAAACAGAAAACTCTCAGATGCTTTTGAAAACTCTGTTAAGACGTCTAGATGAACATTAGAAATCAGTCTGAAGAAAAAAATGAGCAAAGATTTTCCGTTACTTCATTCGAAATTCGGAACAATTGTAATAGTCGAAAAAAAAAGATCAGCATCGATTGTACTTGAGCACTGGTATATAAGCATATGAACTTGCAATTTAGGCAAATAAACGAATTCACAATAAAACCTACGCGTTCGCTTGTTGAAACAAGATTTTCTGCGTCAAACAACTTTTTTGAAAACTTTGCAAGTTAAATTGAGAGCATGAAAAATTTATAACCAAAATTACAAGTTTCTAACACAGAGTCCAAGCGGAGGTTCGCAATACTTGCGATACAATGCAAGCGCGGCATCTCAAGCTAGCGAATAGAAGACTAGACGGAAACAACAAAGTCGAAAAACACAACATCAGTTAAATAAGCGTTTAGTAGTTCTCCAACGACCACTAAGCCGACAACAAGTAGGTAGACGCTTATTGAGCCGGAAAACAAAACAAAAATGTCAGATTAAATAATCTCATAAAAAATTTTGAGCAGTTAATTTTTATTACTTGAAAACTTGCAACTGCAGTTTTTCCAAATTTTTTTTGCTTTTATTGCTTTTGAAGCGACACAAAATAAGCTATCTAAGCCGATGAAACATAAATCGAAACCACTGAAGCCGAATAAGACTTTCAAGCGGAAAAAAACGAAAAGAAAAACATAAGAAAATAAACAACGTCATAGCTATTATTTTAAAAAAACATCCGCAGACAAACGATAGTCCGAGAAATAATTTTTCACAGAAACTTTTTTCTTCAATTTCATGCATACTAAAGAACAAACCGGTACTCGAACTCCAGACCTAGAGGTACAAATGCAAACGCGTTACCCCAGGGCCAAATGGGAACCTTAAGTTTGTTAACGTGAAATATTGAAACAAGTAAAAGGCAAGTAAGATTTGTAGGAAAAGTTGTTTACGGGAAAAAAGTATAGTTCCCGAATACAGAACACTTGCTCACGTAAGTGTGAAAAACAATAAGCAACCAAAAAAAACTGCCCATGGAAAAAAACTATTACAATGATTACCACCCGCCGCGAACTTTCACATCAAATGCCAGAAATTACAAAAAAATAGACAAAATCTGAGCCGAAGTTACTTCATTGAAGCTATTTTGAAAACAATATACCCATCTTATTGCACAAAAAAGAAAATCATAGAAAAAACTAAATTGACTGCGGACTAATGAAAAACAAAAAAAAACATTAAAGTCAGGCTATTTAATTTTACGTTTCCTGAAATTGGAGTGTATCAGCAGTTGGTGCTAAAAAGTAGAGTCAGATAGCAAATCTATTTACAGGAAATAAAAATTTTCTTGATACTATGTATCAAAAACTTAGCCACTTTTTAAAAGCTGTTCTGATCAGACTACAAAACTTCGTTTGAAGAAATTTTTCTGAAATAGAAAACTGTTAATTTTTTGACTAATTTTTAGTCACAGCTTTTAACCAATGAAGTTGCAAATATTGATTTGAAGCCCACAGGAAAAACTTTAAATAACAGTTTTTAGGATTGAAAATAATTTGTCAGCGAACAGTATTTGTTGGTGTATTTCATCACATATTTTTATGTAATTAACTCCCTCTTTAAGGCACTTTTTTCTGTCAACTCTATTTCAACTCTTAGAAAAGTTTGCAGATTTTTCAATTATAGATGGCGGTGTAGAAACAAATTTAAGCAAACTAGTAATGCAAACCAATTTTTTTTCTGGGTGGTGTGATAATGTGATGAAAAATTCTGAGCAAAAAAATAAAATTCAGACAAATTTGACAGTCATAGTAAAATAAGCCAATTGGGAAACAGTTTTTGTTGTATAAAAACGATTCGAAAATCGAAAATCTTTTAAAAAACTTCAAAAATTTTGGTTCCCAAGATGGCGCTCAAAAACTCCAAAAATTAACTTGACTCGATTAAAAATAAGTTTTCACGGCTAAAATTAAGCTTAATTAGGCTATTGTAAGCCTGCACACTCACCTTATTAGCTGGAAGTTAGACCAAAATGCAAGAATTTTAAATCGGTTTTTCTCAACAGAGATTTTTTCAAAATTTTTTAATGTCATTCGAATCACGACTGAAAGGGCTTTAATATGATAAATCACTCGACCCATTCTGATGACTAATTGTGGTTCCTGATTTTGCGGGAGAATGAAAACTACGAAAATTAAAACACATCCGAATACAAAGTTCCTCCACATTTTTCAAATGATCGGAACAACAGTCAGCTGACTCGGCAGACAAAGAGCAGCTCTGTATGCGACAACATAAGTTTTAGATAGAAAAATCTCAGTTTTTTTCTTTTCTCGGCGGTTAAAGACTAATTTAAACATATTCCGGCCTTTCAAGACTTCATGGCGCATTAATGGATTGACTGGATACAAGATGACAATAGGCTAGAACTAGTTCTAGAACCTACCAGAACTTGAATTTCCGTCAGTGTTCTTGGTATCGCCAGCAACAAAAACCTCTTCTTGTGTATTTTCACTATTTCTGCTCCCTCACTCACCTACAGAGACAAAAGCCTTAAAGGGCAACTCTAAGTATATATATTTCTGTTTCTTTCAGCAAAATTACTAACGAGAGATAGATTAGTCACGCCTTCCCTGTGAGTCATTTGTTGTTCATGCAACCCCTAAGCTCAATAAAACATCTTAACAAGCATGATAAGAAAACAACTATAAGATTTTTCATGGACAACTCACGGCAATATTATTCCGAGCAAACTGCCCAATTTTCAGAAACGAATTTCTGGTGATCACTTTATTCTTGTTTTCAGAATACCGGTCTAGTAAAGAGAGCTTGTTCTTTTTCTAAAACAGCATCATTCACTAGTCATTAACGAATTTAATGCAAAAGTCATGTAACCTAATTCATATAGTGATTAATGCGCATAGTATATAAAATACCTGGTCTCTCAACTTATTCTGGGCCATACTTGGACGCTTGATATCCAGATACTCCATCACGCTAGTTGTTTTCAGAGTGGAATCCATCGTTTCTAGAATACAAACAAGATATGTCGCATCTTGCGTGCACTCAATAATTTCCCAAGTACCTGGTCATTATTTGATAAAAACTAACAAGGCGCTGTTTTATGTTAAACGGAATACGACTAGTATAGAAATAACCATAAGCATGCAAGAATATTCTTCGGGATGCCAAATCATCTGCTGATTGCACAGGATGACCAAAATCTCCACTCTTTTTCACGTCCACGACATGTTGACGCCTCACAATTGAACACGTGCCCTGAAGATACAAAAGTAACTAAATTCTGAATTTGATTTAAAGTAAATTAAATCTTAAATTTAAGATAAGCTTTTAAGTAATCTAAATACGCACGCTCTTGCATATGTAGAAATATTCGGAAGATTTGAGGTTTTTGCACACCATCTTGTTTGGTCTAAAATGTATTCCAATCTTTGATAAACTCAAATCAAGCGTTCAATTCACACAACCGGATTTTTTGGTATGACTCTTTTTCCTTTTCCCCCAGTATATTTTTTGCTCACATTGTCCTTTTGTTATTCCACTAACGAGAGCAAGTGTCTTGTAATCGGGAACTTTCTAATCGGGAACTTGTAATCGGGACTTTTTCCCGTAATTAGCTTCTCTTACGCATCTCTAAGAAATTGTAAAAGTGTTTTAATAGTGATCATAGCATTTTCGAGACTTTTACTCATTTGGCATAGAAGTAAAGCTGACTCCTTTGTACTCTAAGGTCTGCGGTTGCAGTCTTGGTCGTCGGGCCATGCTTGTTTTTTTTTCAGAATGTGTGAAATTGAATTTTTTTTTGGGAAAATTGAATTGTCGGACTTTCGTTTGTCTGCTTATATTATGTCGGCTCAATTGCCACATCATTTTTTTTGCTTTACTCCTGTTATTTATTTATAAAATTATTCTTATTTTTTTCGTCTTAAAACTTTATTCGGCCTAAAAGGTTTCGGTTTTTTTTTCATCGACTTAGTTACCTCATTTTTTGTCGCTTCAAAAGCAAAAAGTGATTGGTGTTTTAGAAAAAAAATCACATTTTTTTTGTTTTTTGATCAAAGGAAGTCTAACCTTTTTTTGTTGGCTTAGGTTTCCAATTGGTAAATAATAAAAGTTTATTCAACTCTGGTGGTTGTCTTTTTCGACTGTGTTTCTGAAATAATTTTTCAATTTTCCCCAATTTTTTTTTCCATTTCGTTAATTCCGTCTCATTTTCTATTCGCTAGCTTGGAATGCTGCGCTTGCGCTGTATCGCAAGTAGAGCAAAACTTCGCCCCGCCTTTGAGTAAAAATTGGCTTGCATTGTCACATTCGCTATAAAAATGGGAGTAATTAGGCCATGACAAGCATATTTGGTCTTCATGCTTAACCTCGTTTAGCAATGTCCAACGTTACTCAAAAAAGTTGATGTTTATGTGAGGTTGGGGGAAGGAAAAAGATCCCTTGGTTCACTTACTCGAAGAACAACGACTCAACAGCACCGGGATGTTCCAGAAGACTTTCCAAAGGGTAGTCTTTGAACAGCGGTAAAGACCTCAACGACAAAAATAACATTAATTCACCAGCTAATGAGTTTTATATGTTGCTAACACAGATATTAAATTCCTCGAATTAAGTAACAAAGTGTCAATTTTCTTCCAATTAATAAAAATCTTGGGTAATTCGTCCGTTCTCGCGGTCGTTTGTGCTGAGTTTTGAAGGTTAACCATTAATAATGAAAAATTTGCATAATTTTGCTAATTGTATTATTATTTTTGACAATTTGGCAGGCAATTGTCACAAGAAAGCCGTTTTAAAATAATTTTGAACGTCTGAGTTACCTGAGAAATGTTCTGGGTATCCTTTCGTTGAACTTGCGCAGCGTCTGGAGATCATCTGTGTTTAAGTACAGTACCTGAGCAGTTCCCACTGCTATCATCTGGTACTCTGTTAGCCGAACATTTTCGACATCATTAACCTGTTAAAAGCAGCAAACTCTCAAAACAAACTTTAAAAGACCACTTGATTAACCTTTGCTCTCATCTATTCAATATTAAGTAAACTACTTTCAGTTTAAGCGAATGAAAAAGAGCATATAGGTAGGTTCATCAGATCTTAAATTCGGCTATTACCCCCCCCCCCCCCCCACCCACCCCTCTTCAACTGCAAATTTGGTAGAAATTTTGTAAGAAAGTAAAATGTTTGTTCGCATTGTCCGATTGTTAAGAAAAGAAATTAAAATACGAGCTAATTAGGCCACAAACATACTTGGTCAGCATATTTAACCTTGTAAAACCACTCGTTACACAATAAAACTGATGCTCATGCGACATAGGGAGAAAAGGAAAAAAGCCTTAATTTCAAGTACACTTCATCTCATTGAGCTATAAATCTTTACAGATCCATTTCAAATATTGTACATGTTTTTCCATTTTCGAGTTAGATAAATTCTCAAAAAATCCTTGTTTCCAATGAAAGTAATCAGAAAAAATGGTTCCAACAAACCCGTACATTGAGCAGATCGTGTTTAGACAACCATCCAATAGACTTCGACACTGTTTTGCCATCCGACAATTGAATGTTTTTGATCAAGTTGACTGAAACATGTCAAATTTGTGTTATTCATGGCTACCTAGAAAATTGAAAAAAAAAACAGAAGAATTTTGCACTTTTCCCTTCCATGACAAAATAAAACCTCTGCGGCCGAACGTTCTGGTAGCCGATGATGCGTCCATGATCAAAATCGGAGTACGTTATTAGACGATACAGTTCTTTTTGCATATCTTTTGGGAACAAGACAGTCAGCTCAGGTGTCGGTTGCAAATAGAATCGAATCTAAAATTCCTGCAGAGAATCAGGTACGTATTTTTTTTAGAAAATTAGTGGAATCAGTTCAATTTCAATTGTACTAAATCTATAAACATAAGCAGAATCTTTTTGCTCTGAATGACCTTGTTTCAATCTAAAATAGACTGACCTTCTCTAAATCCTCTTCTGTGCGGAACTGAGGCTGGCATGTGAGAACTCTGAGCATGGCTCTATTTTTCTGAAATTAATTGGACATTAAACTGTTCCGAGTTCATGATTGTCATTCGCATTTATTCACTACATTGTTTTCCTCTAAATCGTAAAATATCATATGATAAAAAAAGCTCATCTCAACTTCGGAAGTTCGTAGATTCAGCAACGGTAACACGCGAATATCCTTAGAAGATGAAAAACAATGGTTTTAGAAGGAGGGGTGAAAGTAACCAACCGTCATTCTCGGCACAGGCTTCTCAATGTTTGGATTTGTGATGTAATCAAACTCCTCGACATACCTGGAATGTTTTTTGAAATAACCAATTTTTTAATCAGTTTGAAAGTATTACGACATTTAAAAATAATTGAGTATGATTGCTATGATAGAAATCTCACCAAGGAGGATGGCAAAAATGTCGACTTTGACTGTAATGTCATAAGAAATTCAGTATGCTATTTGCAAACTGTAGTGCAGGAAACTCACTTGCGTCTGTTTTTGAAGCACCTCAGCAGAAGAACCAGCATTCTTCCGGCAAACAAAAGATAGTCTCTAAGCTAAAACTCAATTCACGAATTTAATGTTAGCAAATGAATACTTTTGCAATGAATAATTTTTGAAAACAAAAATAAAAAAAACATACCATACCTTCCAGTTTTTCCTATGCTCGGCGTTGAAATCTTTTGTGCTCATCGCTGATAAGCGCTAAAATAATATTTTGGCTGCTAGCCTGAACTTTTGTAACGAAATACTAGGGAGGGGAAGGGGGAGGGGTCTGTTGGCCAGGATTTTGGGAGTCACACTTTGAGGGACAAAGCGAGAAAACCTATGTTGCAAATCGGTTAAAACGGTACTTCCCAAATGGCATTAAATTTAAATTTCAAGCTTACAATACAACTCAAACGTTTTCCTGGCCAATATTTTTAGTTTGTATCCGTAAGGACAACATATGAACAAGAATCAGAATAAGTTGCTTCCAAACAATTGTTGAGTGACAATTTTTCTAAACTGATAAAATGCCAACTAACACGTGAATTGACAGCTTTACTATTTTTTGCGCATTACGACGCCAAACTTGCGTCTGGATTCCACAATAAATCCTTTACATGTGTTCAATTTTCGAACTGGTTAGTTGATACTGAAAATTTCATTAAAATAGGTCAAAAAATTGTTTTTGGTAGCTTCTTTAAAGTTAGTTTTTAATCCCTCCCCCGCACGCATAAAAATTTGCAAAAATAATTTGCATAAATTCTTGAACACCTTTGCAGTCGAACTAGAGATAAATTAGACAAAATTGATATCCAACTTATTGCTTAGCAAAACGCAAAAAAATGGTAAAATTTGATGGAAAAAAGGTATCATAGAGGCAAAGCTGTAGCTTCTCTAACACGAGCGAGAAAGCGGCAAAAATTCAGGGGGGGCTGTGAAATGCCCCAAAACACAAATTTTTCATTTAAAAATTTGGAGTATAATGAACCAAAGGCAACGACACAATCATTTTTTACAATAAACAAGCATTTTTTTAAACCAAATCTCGTATAAATCTAGAGAAGTAATTCGAGTTGGAAAATTTCTGAAATGAGATTTATTTCATTACACTGTTGTATGAAACAAATAGCTCTTTTCGGTTCAAATGTTGATTAAAAAAGCATCAACTTTGTTTGCTTACTAGTAATCAATTTTCAAAGAATTAGGGATAATGCTACTCATGGAGCCTACCAGTTCAAAAGGACCACCAAAATTAGTTGTTTTTTTGCGACTTAGGTAGGAAAAAAAGTTGCATTGAACTCTAAGAAAGTTCTGCCGCAAGTGAATATGTTTTATGGGGAAACAAGATTTATCATGCGTCACAGAAAAAAATTTTAGGTTTAAGCAATCATTTAAAAATGTACAACAAAATATTGAATATATTTAACTTTTTCACATTTTTTTTCTTTAACCTAAAAACATAAAATTCAGCCAAAAGATGCCAATTAAAAGACCTGGAGAGATTATTCCGAGCCCAAATAATTTGTCACTTTTTTGAAATGTAAGATCATTGCAGCAAGCAATAATTGCGTCGATTTTTGCGCTGCTGAAGAAGAAAAAGTTCACCCACGATATAGAAACTAGCATAAAGTTATGAGACCATTGGAATTTAAAAAATCCACAAGTCAAAAAGAGTTTTGTGAAACACTTTGACAAAACTGAAGCATAAAAAGCTTAAAACAAATGTTTAATACGGCTGTTTCCGATGCCAATTTTGCTCTTTAAATCGAGTTTTTAAAAATAACATAAACTGAGAATGCACAAAATTACATATGCTCAAAACTTTTAATTTCATGCATAACAAGTTATCATAAGACTAAAAGACTAAGACAGCAAAAATCAAATGACTGCCATCAAGCTAAAATAAATCTAGAGAATTGTTTCGATTTTGAAATTTTGAATTTATAACTGTACATAGTCAAAAAGCAAAACAAATAACGCTGCATGTAAAAAAACATCCTAGTACTCATTTTCTTAGTGCCGAAAATTATAGATGATTTAAAAGTGAAGAGTCATTTTTCAAATTGATTAGTTGATACTGAAAATTTCATTAATATAGGTCAATTGTTTTTGGTAGCTTCTTCAAAGTTAGTTTTCAATTCCTCTCTCGCACGCATCAAATTTTGCAAAAGTAATTTGCATGAACTTTTGAATACTTGAATACCTTTGCAATCCCGCTCAATCTAATTTAGACAAAATTGATATACAATTTATCGCTCTGCAAAACGCAAAAAAAAAATGTAAAATTTAATAGAAAAATATTAATATAGCGACAAAGCTGCAGTTTCACCAACACGAGCGAGAAAGCGGCAAAATTTGAGGGGCTTTGAATTGTCCATAAATTCAAATTTTTCATGTAATAAGTCAGAATTGTAATCAACCAAAGCAACCACACTAACATTACATCGAATAAAAATTAGTTTATATAACCAAACTGCGTATAAATTCTGATTTTTCAAAAATATAGCGCAGGAATTCGAGTTGAAAAACTTCTGAGATGGGATTCATATTCGACTTTGTATCGCTTCGCACCACTTGCGATACAAAACAAGAAATCGCTAAGTCGAAAAAAATTCGAAAAATTCGAAAAAACTAGATCTATCGATAAGGCTACATTCAAGAAAAAACGAGCAAAGACAATATAATGTGAAATAACATCAAAAAAAAAGTTAACAAGTGGTAACAAAGCCGGAAATAACTTAGCAGAAACCCTTTCGGCCGATTTTTTTTTAAATCTATCAAGTCTCCCACACCCTCAAACAAACAAACACAAACACACACACACCCACACACACACACACACAAACTTTATTCACGCGTCAATTGAAACAATATGGCAATATGAGGCCACTTTACCGATATAATATTGGCCGAAACCTATTCAGCCGAAACAAATTCATAAAAAAACATAGCAAAAAAAAAGACTAAAAAAAAGTATGTCATGCCCCTCACCCTCAAACGACATACACAGCTCGAGAAACGGCCTAAAATGAGGCGATTGAGCCGATGTAATGTAAGACAAAACCTATCAGGCTCAAAAAAGGAAAAGATAAAACACAAAGATAATAAAAATTATTAAGTCCCCTTCCCCTCCAAACCACGGACACGCACACACAATCTTTTTTTGCCCATCGAAAAGCGCAATATGCAACCATTAAACCGATATAATATAGGCCAAAGCTTATCAAGCCGAAAAACTTAAACTACAATTTCTATTAAAATTTTAGCTTTTGCGCGATCCAGAGGTAAGCATAACAATTATGTTTCCCCTGAAACTACTCAGAATTAAGCCACTACGCCGATATAAAATAGGCCGAAGCCTATTAAGCCAAAAACAGGAAAAAAAATTTAAAAAATTTTAAACACAGGCGAAGCTGAGCTTCGCACCACTTGCCATACAACACAAGACAGTAAAAAAAAAACGAAAATGTCAAAAAAAATTAGATCTATAATAATGAATAAGTTTAGTTTTGAACCAAAAACATGCCAAGACAATAGAACGAGAAAAGAGCATCGGAACATAATTCACTAAGCTGTAACAAATAACTTGACAAAAACTTTTGAGCCGAAAAAAGCATCAAGATTTAAGACTTATGAAGTCCCCCTCGCATTCAAAACACTCAAAACCATTATTTGCTCGTCCAATGAAACAATATGAGACAACTAAGCCAATATAACATAGCCCAAAACGGGGCTGAAATCTGTGGACAAAGTTGTTAATGGGAAACAGAAGAGTCTAATTCCCGATTGCAATAACCTTGCTATCGCAAGGGTAAACATTATCGTGTTGTATAAAACGAATAGCTTTTATTCGGTTTAATTGATCAATTGAAAGCATCAGCTGTGTTAGCTGATTACTAATCAAATTTCAAAGAACTAGGGATAAAACTGCTTATCCGTCCTACCGCTTCAAACCAAAGTGGCTTTTTAATTGCAATTTAGTTGGCAAAAGTTGCATCGTACTATCACAATACGCTACGATCGTGTAAAAAATATTATGTCATCGCAAGTTCATAGAACAGTTATCGTATCAAAATAAAAAGTTTTGAAACTTCTTACAACAGCTAAAAAATTTATAGGAAAGTAGGAAAAAGTACTAAACGCCGCTCAGTTCATTTTGTTTTTTGTATAAAAAACCTATTAAACATAATTGAAAAAAAGCTCACCAATACTTCCCTTAAATTTTTTTTTTCAAAGCGGGTAAATGAATGAGGTAAAAATTACAAAAACTTGCTGTAATAATAGCTGAAAAAATTTGTGAAGTGAATAAGAAGTGAATATTAATTCGGTGTTCAAATCATTTCAAACTGAAAATCTAGCCCAATTTTGAGCCAAAACACACCAGTTTTTTTTCGATAGACATTTAATTTGAAATTTAATATACGTGAATAAACTTGTCGTTTCTTTCGAATGTAGGAACTTTGGAACCCGCTTTTATGTCAATTTTGAATGTCAATTTCAGCAATCAATTAAAAAATAGCATAAAACTATGAGCCTATTGATTTAAAAAACCCAAAAATGGAATTTTTTGTGAAACATGAAAATGTTGAGACAAATGTATGAAACGGCTGTTTTCAAGGCTAGTTTTGCTCTTTAAAGCAAGTCATTTGAAAAAGATAACAAACTGAGTATGGAGTTGTTTTTAAAAAACGGCCAAAAACGTTTTAATATATGTTTTCCTTTTCAAAAAAAAAAATGCCCGAAGCTTTTTATTTCAATGCCTAAAAAGTGATCATAAGACTATATGACAAAGGCGTCCAAAAATAAATGACTGCCATAAAGCTAAAATAAATCCAATGAATTTTTTCGATTTTGAAATTTTGGAATTTTTAACTCTACATAGCCAAATTGCAAATCAAATACTGCTGCAGGTAAAAAAAAAAACATCTGACATTGATTCAAATTACGCTAATTTCAGTAACTTTTGAAAGCGAGCTAAATGTGATCAGTGTATACGTATGTAAATCACCCGAATACAATGATCAGAACAATAACACTCATAGAAAATTTGAGAAAAAAATAAACTAGTGAATAAATGCAGAACATGCAATTTTTGATAAATTTTCAAATTTTGGATGCTACAAAAGTTTTTAAAATTAGTTTTATATAGATCTGACAGTTCATCAGCAAACAACACTTAGAATCCAAGACATACAAGCTCGCTTCTGAAAAACTTCTGGAAAAAGCCGAAAGATTAAAACAAAACTGTAATTTTCAAATTTTTAATTTAAATGAGTGATCTCGAAATAGGTTGCGTTTAAATCACTCAGTCATATGAAGTTTTCTGAAAAAGCTTTAAAATTCAAACTTTCCTTTTTATTCAATCATGCAGTATATATTCAATTATTCAGTCATGCATGTTGTTTGTCTTTAACAGGATCCAGAGCATAAAGTCAACAAATGGGCCGAAAAAAAAACAAAATTCAAACTGAACAAAAACACCATAAAATCGATTAATACTGGTGTGTAACGCATCTCCGGTGCTTCAAACAGAATATTTGACGTGAAAACTGCTTTATATGAAATAAGTGAAAAAAAAACAAGGAAAAGAACGCAACTGTAAAAAGAGACGGGCGCAAACAATAACGCTTTTCATCTAAGAAAAGGAACAAAAACATTTCACTAAAATGGTCAAATCTCTGAAGCTATTGGGTTTCAACTCGTGGGTTTTAGAATGCCTGACAGCAGACAAATAATCTCCCAATTTTTAAAAATTTCTTTGACAAAATCACTGAATTCATGAATGAGACTGTTTAAACTCAGCTTGTTAAAGTTAGTTCTTTTTTGTGTTTAAGACAGGAGATTTTTTTTCTTAGTTGAATTGATCAGTTTAAAAAAAAATTGGAAAATCATGAAAAAAACGTCAGTTTCAACAACTTGAACAAATCGAGCAACACAATTGGGTTAAAAGCCACGTCTGCAACTGCTGGAAGTAAACTGGCTTCACCCCACCAATGCGTTGAGTGTCAAATTTTTGAAAAAAAAATTTTGAACTTGAAAGTGATTTTTTTTTGAAAAATCAGGAAAAATGAATCAAAATTCACATCGAGGAAAATGGAATGCGTTGAACAGTCATCTTCAGATTCCGTATGAATACTTCCTGAGAGTGCCTCGACAGCATTCCATCATAATTTCGAGAAGTTAAGACTTTGTTAAGTTTTTTTAAAGATTAAGTTTTTGAAAAGCTTTGAATAATCATAAAAAAGGCATATCTCGCAAAGGAAGATTTTGAAAGCATTTAAAACTTGAAACAAAGAATTGCAACAAAGAAGTAAGCCTGGATAGTTTTTGTCGATTTATTTTCTTGAACTTTTAGATAAGAAAGCACCAGCTATCTTCGTGACTCAAATCTTTAAAAAGATCGCGAGTTTTCATATCAATCAGTCGCATAAGATGAATTTCCCGACTCAAGTGAGTTTTTGAAGAAGTCAAAAGCTACCTCGTTAAGCTTAAAAACGTCCGAATTGCTAGTTGTATGAGAAATTTCAACCCAAAATGCAATTCATTTGCTTTAGCCGAATATGACAGGATTCACACAATAGCTTCTTATGAATATGAGCGTATTCGTTTCTTTCTGTCACATTCATGAGCTAGCACCGTCATAATTCAAGCCGTCGCCATTCAAATTCGCTATTATGGTTAGTCTTTCATAAGCTGAATTTATACGCTGCTCGGTCAAACTCAAGTTCGAGCACAATTTACCCGAACTTTAGGACTGTTAGCTTGAAAGTCATAAAACCGTCTGTTTCAAGCATCTGAGAGAAGAAGGCTTACATTAGATCGGGTGGCATGATTAGCTTTAGAGATATTTATTTATCTTTGTAATTTAGATCGCCAAGGACGATAGGCAAACTAAGTGCAAACCACCTGCCGCAAGCGTCTATTATTTTCCAAACTCCTTAGATCTCTTCTTGAAGTAGTTAAATCTATCTTATTTGCACTTGAACTAGTAACCATAACATCGACAAAAAAACTAGTTAACTTCGGTTGAAAAATTGATTATTTTCATTCTACTTTAATTTGATCAGCAAACTATTTTAGAAACCTTTGATTTCAGAACTTACAGTGATCTGTTCATATCTTTTGGACCCAACCGTCAGTTCAAATTGAGCGTCGTGCAGTGAGCTCATTTGAATCAGTTCACGTTGTCGTTCTGCTATCATGTCTTCGACTGACTGCTCTAGACATCAATACTGTATGCAATTTCATAGCTTAAGCAATACTTTAAGTAGCTTTTCAAAAACACTGACACTCATCCAAAACAATGCCAATTTTGTAATCAAAGACATGTCTTAGGTTTTCGGTGAAATCAAATACCAAAAGTACACAACGATATGTATGGAAAATGTCTTAAGGGTCATTGATTAAATTTTGGTTTCCATTCCTCACTGTCATTGACGTCAGAAGTACATGGAATCTGTTATTCCTAAAGCTCGCGTATGTGCTTACTAACTTTAAATTTCGCGTATTTCGGCACAAATTATCCAGCCGCCTTACAGATACAGGCCAAAAATCGTCATGCTTTACTTAATAAAATTTTTCGAGATTGATTCGATGTTAACTTTTTCTGCCTACCTGCTAGCGATGCGTTCTTTTCCTTTTCCAGAACACCTTTAGCCACACTTTCGCGCCAGATAGCTGGAGTAGCTCTCTTGTCAACCGTGTGTAAAAAAGTATTCGAAGCCATACTGAACAATTTTATAACCAACTAAAATTAACTATGGCCAATAAAAGTAACCAACAAAGCATTTGAGACGACTTTAAGTTTAATTAAATCTGCACGAACCGCATAACTAAGCCGACGTAAATTATACTATTTTCTTATTTGTAGTTTTGTCAGTTTAATCTCTTTCACTGAAGTATACGAGCTTGCTGATTAAACTGAACACAATTCGTGATCTCTTCAAAAAATTTTTGAGGCTTCAAGCATCGTGAAACCGATTGACGACAACGTTATATTTCGGTTTAAGCTATGCACGTATTAACTTAGTTTGAATATTGCTCTTTAACACAACCATTAATGAGCAATTAAATTAATTAAAAAAGAAAATTCAATGGGTCTGGATTTCAAAAATCTAATCAAAATTTAACACAGTGAAACTGAGGATAAGCTTCGCAAACACCAGCAAAAAAGAACATGAAAACAAAAATGCAAAATCAGACTTGAAAGTCAGGCTTTAAAAGCAATTCTGACAGCGAAGCCCGGGTCGAGATCCCGCTCAAAAACCGCTCAAGATTTGAGCGGTTTGAGCGGTTTTCCAGCAAGATTTGAGCGGTTTGGGCGGTTTTTTTGGAAAAACCGCTCAAACCGCTCAAATCTTGCTTAAAAAACCGCTCAAAAACCGCTCATTTCTTGCGGTGATTTTTGAACGGTTTTTCAAGCAAGATTTGAGCGGTCTTCCCGGGTCGAGGTCCCAGACTCAACGTTTCTCTTCTCTGCAAAACTCGAACGAACACGTTCATCCAGGGGCGACCAATATGTAGTAATTTTCCAAAAATTGCCCAAAAACAGCATTTTTGACCAGCTCTTCACGTCAACAAACACACCCCCCGCCCCAACTTACAACCCCCCCCCCCCTGATTCGGAGAATTGAATTGAAAGTAAAAAGATGAAATGCCTCCCTTTTCCCTTTGGTGGGAAGAAGAAGGAGTTGAAGCGGAATGGTAATAGTAGTGTAGTTTATAAAAGCATGAATTAGAATGCAGAGTATTCAGTATTCATTGTGGTGCGTAATTTATATTGTCTTCGCTGCTCGACACTAGTTTCAGGGCATCATGGCCTAAGCGATAAGGCGTCTGACTTCGAATCAGAAGATTGCGGGTTCGAATCCCTCTGTGGTCGACTTTTTATTATTAAATCTTGCGCGGTTTTTGAGCGGTTTTTTTAGATAAACCGCTCAAAACCGTTCAGATCTTGCGCGGTTTTTGAGCGTTTTTTTTTAGATAAACCGTTCAAAAACCGCTCAAACCGCTCATTTTGAAGCATGATTTTGAGCGTAATTGTCTAAAAAAACCGCTCAAACCGCTCAAATCTTGCTTCAAATTAGGTGAAAAATCTCGACTCGGGAGGATTAAACCCTTTCAATGCCTGCCTAGTTAACAAAAAAACCATACATTACGCGGCCAAAATGTGCATTTTCTGCACTTTGATATTTTGCTTTGATCTCTTTTATTGTTTTGAATTTGACAAACAAATAGCTAAAAAACTCTACCGCCCAAACTCGCTCCAAAAACGGGCGGAGTTGCGGAATTTGAGCTATTTGCAGAAACCGCAACAGTTTGTGGAATCCACTAACTTATAAACTATAGCTGAGGTAAAATTGAGCTTTTGCGGAATTCGCCACTGTATGCGGAATCCACAAACTGTAGGCGGAATCCGCGTTTTAATGGCAAATTCAAGTAACATGTATAGTAACGTCTTGAAATTACATTTTAAAGTCAAATATATTTTTGTGGGTCTTTAGCAAGACTGTCCAACTGTTCAATTTCATTTTCTGCCATCAGTTTGAACTCACCAGCTATATCTCAAATACTGAAAGAATGGACACCTTTCCAGTCTCAAAAATGAAAAAATGGAAACAAACTGAGGCAAACTATTTCATGGGTTATAAGGCTGAATAGTTAATAAAATTTATTTATTCCAAACACTAAAAGATTTTAATTGAACAATGATTTTAAAATTTTATTGGATTCCACTAACAATAGCTAAATCCTTGCTAGATAATACTTTTGGCAATTGGTTTTAATTTTTTACGCAAGGAATTTTTCAATCCAGTACATCAAACAAAACTACGATTCAATTAAATTTGTGGAATTCGCTTAGATTTGTCGAATCTGCTTACATTAGTGGAATCCGCTCACATTTTGCGGAACCCTGGACAACTACCTATATTCACTCGTTGCGGAATCCGCGACCAAGATATTAACCCGAAAATTTCAAATTACAGGTATTTGTACTCGGAATCCACTTACATTTAGGAACATGTTTAAAGACTTGTCTCTTGACTCCAGCAACATACAGAAACCTAATTGTGTGCCTATCCAGTACACAGTTTGGCCTCAAAAATTCTCACTTTCGAAATTCAAGATAAAAATAGATGGTCTTAAACTTCTTTCAATTTCCAGAACAAATTATGCATGAATTTTTTTTATATAAAACCAACCTTTTTTGAGAAAACTGGACCAACAGCTAAATTTGATATTTCGCTGGGGATTCTGATAATTAAAATCCATTTTTGAAAAAGGGAAGTCAAATATGTTTTTCGCGGTCTGTTCACTTCTGTGGTTCGATAGTGGCGTTGGCTTGCCTTTTATCAGAGAAAAAATTGAACTTAAGAACAAATCAGAAGTGAAATGGCGAAAAAGTGGACTTGAGCCTGAAAAATTTTGAGCATGATAAAATTGCTCAGATTTATAGCAGAACTATATCGGTTCAATTAATTTCAAAACCAACTTTGGCCTTGAACTTTACCTACAAAAAGGTAATTTTTTGGCTTTTTCATTCAATTAAAATTACGTCAGGACTACGGGATCAATTGCTGATAAATGTATATCAAAATGTGCCTTTTATAAAGCCCAACGAACTTAAAGAAAGGTAAAATATATGTAGATCTTTATTTATGCAAAATTTTATTACTTGAAAACTTATTTGTTTAAACAAAAGTAATTGCACCACAAAAATTAAGTTAAATGGCTCAGCTCGTTTTCTCAGCATCCTTTTTTATCAACACAAATTAAAAACACACGTTCTAAGTTTTTATCGTTTTTGTCCAGATAATTGAAATTAGCACTGTTAACAAACCAAATTACGTAATTACAACAAACAACTGACGACAGAGGCTTTAAACCAAAAACTTGAAAAAAAATTCACGAAACAACAAAAAAACATTCAGCATATATTGCCTGCTAAAGTAACTAAACCTCCGCTCGTTCGTTTAAGATCTAGCCCAAAACAAGATCCGCCGGTTTGAATAACTGAAACAATTTTATCTAGGAACGCACGCTTGAAACAGCTAAAACAAAAAGCACGGCCGAAGTACTAATTTCAGAACACAACCAACAAAACGTTGCAAAAAAATTTCCTTAGTTCATAGAACCGCAACATTTTACAGCCATAAAGGTCACTAGCGCGTGACTCAGTCCCTTAAAAAACTGTTGAAGGTGAAAATTTTTTCCTTAAAAATGAAAACACAACTTAAATTAATGCAACCGAAAAACAGACATAGGGCATGCAACAGTTTATTATATTTCAAAATTATTAAACAGCTGTATCAACAAAACCATAAATGTTGCATTTTTTTTTACGAATTTGGTATTCAGATGTTCGAATGTCTAACTCAGGAGTAAGACCATGACAATGCCGTCAACCTACAATTGCATTTTCCATATTTTTCATCATAAGTACTAAGATGTATACTTTTTATTGTATGAAGAAAACACAGAGGCGAAGCGGAGCCTCGCACCACTTGCGATACAACACGGACACGAAAAAAAAAACAGATCGAAAAAATGAAAAAAGTCTAAAATATTGAAAAAACTACTTAACTAGTTATACTAAAACTAAAATTTTTGTAAGTCTCGATAGTAGCTCATTTTTCTCAAGATTCCAGACATTTGAATAAAAAAATATTAACGGAATAAACCAACAATCTTATAGCAGACCAGTTGAAAAGAATAAAAATAATTTTATCGAAAAGATTTAAAATTTTTCAAATTCCTCTCTAAAACTAGAATGAACAACACTTGCAGTTGCAATGGAAATTGCTTCGAGCACAAGTAACGGCAACTTGTGCAATAAACGCTGTGCGACAATTCAGTGTTTATCGAAAAAATTCGATTGCATACATACTAAAAAAAACAAGGTCCCACCGATACTCGAACCTAAAGCTCAGGGAAGAAGGAATCTAAAAACGGGAAAAAATCTCAAAGAAGTAAAAAAAAAGTGAAACTGGAGAAGAAAGAAGAGAATAAAGAAGAAAAGAATGTCAGAAAAATTGTTGAAGGGGAAAAAGTTTAGTTCCCGATTAAAGTCACTTGCTCTCGGCAAGAGTCAAAATAACCTTCTTAATTGAAGATGTTGTGCAACTTCGTGTACCAACTTCAATAAACCCTGCCATTGCTGCAATCAATAAATTAATCATGCGTAGTTGAACCAATGAACAGCAATCAGAGTTTTTGAAAATTAATTCGAAGTTTATTGAAGATAATTGTTTAAAAAAACGGTTGCCATCTCGGAAAGTAACAGAAATTGAGCACTCACCTCTGTAACTCCTGGGAGAACCTTGACATCGACCTACTATTGGGTCAATTCTTTATTATCTAAACTTCTGAAAATATCATAAAAACGCCATACTTCGGAAACTTGAAAAGATCGAGCTGTCACATTTCGAGGAGACGATTGCGACTCTTTGGAGTATCCTGACAGCATCTCACCAGAAGCTAGAGAACTTCGAATTGTTTTTGAAAGAACCCTGAAAGTACGAAAAAACAAAATTGCTAATTTTATATGTAACTAGCGTTTAACGCACCTTCGGTGCTTCGAAATTTTTCGACAACTCAGTAAAAACCGCATATATTGGAAACAACATCTGCAAACTTTTAGTGTACTCTGACTGCACCCAATTACAAACTTTAAATTTTCTTTAAATTCCCATTTTAAAAGCGTCATCTCAAAAACTTAATGGGCCTCTGGAGAAATTTGGAGGCCAGATTTGCAACCACTGAGAGTCCCTGAGAGCACCCTACTATAGGGTAAGGAATCCAAAATTTTGTGAACTTTTTTAAACCTAAGTTTCCCGAAAAAAAATTGAAAAAAAAACGTCTTA